TCACCTTACACGAAATAGGGTGAATACATCTCATTACACTGATTTGCTGGTAGTCTCGAAACCCTACTTTAATACGAATAACAATATCGCTGTCTAAAGAGGACAGCATAAATCGCATGACTTGAAATGACTCAGAACCCCACGGAGTCAGCTATCTTTCGTTACATCGAATAACCACTCGTCACACTAAACATTTTCAAAGTGTGTTTTCATTCTCCGAATCTGGTCTGCTCCAAGGCCATCTCTGGGCAGCGTCCTACTCGGCTCGCAGACGTTCGGCCAGTTTTGACCGATTCCCACGTACCAGCTCCAACTTTACGAGACCCCAATTCTCACTTGGTCGTCTTCCCTCCCACTCATCTCTGCTCCTCCAACTAGGCACACAATACCACTCACCCGTCGAGTCGATCTCCTCAGCCTCTACTCGGAACCTCTGCCGTGCAGCCGGACTGATGACCAACAGCATCAGCAGAAGCCTCAACAGGAGCCGCCAAGTCGTCGAGCAGTCTAGAATGTAAGTCATGACAACTGGGATTCTCAAAGTACCGTCATCTGGTGCCTGGCAGACAGACTCAGTCGTCCAGTGGGTAGGACAACCGAGACCGGCCGACAACTGCCCGACGGATGGGCTTGAATGAGGCTGGGCCTGCCGACTGGGGGGCATAGGCCACATTTCGCGTGGAACCACATGTCCGTTTGTCGTGGTGGGGTGGATCAGGAGGACGTCTATTAGCGCTTCGGGCCGGGGAACACTTTCACAAGTTTCTGGACGTACACACAACCTCACCTCTGCTCAAGTGACGCTTTGATGAGGGGCTATTCCAGTCGTTAAGGCGAGCTACACCAAACTTGGATGGATTTGGCTCTAGACGAATGGGACACAGATCTTTCGTCTCGGATACGGCAGAAAAGATCGGAAACCACGGCCATTTGGGTCTGGACGGGCATAAATGGATCGACAATGGTCAGCAATTGCCTAGAAACCAAATGGACAAATAGTCGACTGGAGGCAGAAGAAACGAAGCCGGAGAAGCACAGACAACTCCGCACGAATGAGGCTGCCTCAGATGGGAAATGGGTCTGCTCATCCAAGACCACCAACCGACAGACGCAAGGATAGACGGAAAGGCAACCAGACACTATGACAACTACGTCTACGAGGATAGAGACTAATAGGCCGGTTGTATAGACGTACAGATAGATCTTTCGAAAGACCAGCACGGTCAGTCGAAAATAACAACGGAAAACAATTTTAAACAAGGACACAGAATAGGTTCCCTCGACAGTTGGGTCACTCAGGCTGTTTCTCTTCAACCCTCGCATGCTCGTCTTCCTCTCTGCCCGTTGTCATGTGACCCGGCCATGTGCTCAACCTATCTACCTGTCAATTGCCAGTCCATTGCTGCACGTCTTCTAGCCGTTAACTACTGCATCAGAATGCCTAATCCCATACGTCCAAGATGGCTTTCTTCAGGCCTACGCAGAAAGTCGACTTTAGGCGAGCCGAAGAGCACAGGTAGACAGTGGCTATCAAAGACTATGGCCACTCAAGACGCACAAGGTCGGCCAATTCCGTCAGACCTGCTAAAACACCTCAGTAAATTATCTATAATCTTATATAAATATATATATATATATATATACGCAAATATCGTATATTAAGTTATAGCATTAGTTGTTAACTCGTCGATACCACTCTGTCAATGTAGTGAATTGATAGGCTGGTTAGGACCGTTAAGCGTGACAACTACTGCTTAGATGGACATGATGCCGTCATATCAAGTCCAAGATGGTGTAGCCCAGGGGCGCCGCGAAATGTTGTAAAAAGCTTCATTTTGAGAAAATGTATAGCGATTTGCAGGCTCATCCATCACATTAATTATTAAATATTAATTTTGGTGTTTATAAAGTAAATAAAATATTGAAGATACACAAGTTTTTTATTTATTTCTTATTTACGAAGAGGCGCCAGGGAAAAATTTTAATTAAAAAACGGCGCCGCGACTAGGAAAAGTTTGGGAACCACTGATGTAGCCTTCAGTATGGTCACAGTCTCTTTTCGGCGTATAGGCGTTGGCCGACCTCGTTTTCGCAACTTGGTCGTGTTGTCAGGATGACTTGATTGCGCGCACCTTGTACGAAGCGCTCTGATCTAGTAGTTACCGTAATTCCCAGCCTCGGATCGTTGACATAGTGCATTCCCATCAGTTTGGCCAGCATCGTAGTCGGCATCGTCAGTGAGTCTTGCCAGAAAGCTAGAACTCGTGGAAGAGACAAGTTGGGGCTTGCCAAGACGCACTGATATTGCTGGCAAAACCAAATCCACGGTCTGATGTTGAGAATTATGGTAACTACTATAGCAGAGGACTTCGGACAAAGTGTGTTCAACTAAGTCGCCATGGCAACACGACCAAATTTGGAAAATGAATTAATTTCACTTTTATGTTGTCAGCAGGATCAAGGACAAGATATGCCCCTATAAAGGGAGCAGCGATGTCTGATCCAAATTACAAATGATCTAAAACTGTAGGTCTAATTAATAAGAGTTTAGAAGGTTTTGAGCTTAAGCATGAAGTTTTGCAGATAATCCCGCCAAATGCGTACAGTTTATTTTTCGTTCATAATCAGGATTTTGGGACGACCAGTAAATCAGTCATATGAGATGTATTCACCCTATTTCATTTACGGTAATAAAAGACAATTCGTTGAATTTTCCCATAATGCTGTGAGTAGAGCTGACGCTAACACTGAATCTCACATAGGCTTGCATTCCTAAAAAGTGTTCTCATTCAGAGTAACCTCGCCGAGTGTAATCTCGACAAGTTAACAACTACGCCAAATTGCCACGAGTGGATCACAGGACAGATGGGAATTTCAAGGAAAGCCGGGCGTTTTCACATATCATATTCATTGTTAGGATTGTCGATGAAGCACAATTATATTTACTATGCCAATCGACTACCTGACTTATTTTTCGTTCATAAGTGGAGTTTCGAGGCTACCAGTAGCTCATTTTTCTGAACTGTATTCATCCTATTTCGTTTAATTTGATAATGCGACTTGTAGTTAAATTTTCTACAATCATATGCGTTGACCTTATGTTTCCACTGAATTTCACATAGCCTTGATTTT